GGACCGAACGGTACCCGTACCCTACCTCCCTCCCTCCCTCCCTCCCTCCCTCCTCTCTCTCTCTCTCTCTCTCCCTGATTTCCTTCTTTCTGTCCGTACTTCTCCCTCCTTGCACTCCTTCTCCCAAGCCGCCAATGGCACGAGTAGTTCTTCACTATTTTGTCTCACCCCCTCCCTCCCTCTCTCCCGCCTACCCTCCCTCCCTCCTTTAGACGATATCGCCCTTCTCCACCACGTCTCTCGCCGCGGTTGTACTTTCTGGCCGGGGAAAACAGCCTTACCTCCCTCCCCTCCTCCCTCCCTTCCTCCCTCACATACTCGTCCGTCCATTAAAAGGAAGCAGCGGCTCGTGGCCGTCACTTACCCCCTCCCTCCCGCCCAACTTACCTCCCTCCCTCCCGCCCTCCCGCCCACGTCCCCGATGCAACGGGTCGGCGAAGACGGTTGTTGCCCTCAGCCCTTTTCAGGGGTTCCCGGGAGGGAGGGAGCGAGTGAGGGCGAGGAGGAGGGAGGGAGGGAGGTGCAGCATGTTTGGTTCTATGGCTGGAAGGATTTCGCAGTCCCAGGGGAGGAAAATGACGACGTGGTCCTGTCGCTGGTCGCCGAGGCGGTGCAGTACATTCGGTGAGGGGGAGGGCGGGAGGGAGGGAGGGAGGGAAAGAGGGAGGAAAGGTAGCAAGGACAGCAAGTTGAGATGTCCGGAGTCTCCGTTTCCTTCCAACCGTCGTGTCTTCCCGGCCCGGCCCTCCCTCCCTCCCTCCCTCCTCCTCTCTCCTTCCCCCCCCCCCATCGTCCGTTTCCTCTTCCTCCTAGCGAGGGCCGGAAGGTAGTGGTGACGTGTCACAGCGGTCGCGGCCGTTCTGGCACTTTTGCCGCCTTGGTAGCTGCTACCTTAAATGGCGTCAGGGACGTGGATACGCTGGTGGATCTGATCGTGATGATGCGGTGAGGGAGGGAAAAGGGAGGGAGGGGAGGGAGGGGAGGGAGGGAGGGAGGGAGGGAGGGAGGGAGGGAGGGAGACGGGGAAGGAAGGACCACGCACCATTATGTGGACTGCAGCCGTGATCGAAGAGGACGACAGCTTTGCCTGTCATCCGTGCCTTTAAAAACTCTGAGAAAGGGCGGGAAAGGAAGCGAATGAGGCAAAACAGGCTAAGGAGGCAAGGAGAGGGGGGAGGGAGACGCACCCACCATGATTTGACGGGCTTCGTGCCGGTAGAGGGTGGTATGCATCCCCGTGATGGAGGTGGTGGTGTGGGTGTTGCCGTACAAGTTCATGATCTCGAGGCGGAGGAAGTCCTGAGGGAAGGGTGGAGGGAGGGAGGAGAGAGGGAGGGATACAGGGTTAGCCTCACGACGGCATTATACTCTGTCCTTCTCCTTCTTCTTCACTCCTCCCTCCCCATCTCCCTTCACCCCCTCCCCCCCGACCTCGATGAAGTGCAGCTGCCGTCCTGATGCCGTTCAGTCCGCGTATACGATGGGCTTCTTCCCGCCCAGGGGGGAGTCGAAGGTGTGGAAGCGGCCCACCAAGGAATCCTGAGGAACGGGACACAAGAGAGAGAGGCCGGGAAGTCGATGAGTGTGTGAGGTTTTGGGTGGATGGCGGTGCATCCTCAAGATTCAGAGGGGGGAGATGTTGCGTGGTGGGTGTGTAGCACAGGGCGAATACCTGAAAGCGTTGGAGGAGGCCGGGTCGCTTCGACAGGCGTTGACTTAGGAGGGAGCCTTCTCGTTCCTTCTCCTCAAGCACCTGCGCGTACAAGAGCGTGTACATGTGAAGCTTTATGCCAAGCGGTTGACGACTCGCACTCATGACCTTTCGATGGCCGGGTGCTTGCCTCATAGAATTGACGATAGAAGATCGATGGGGTGTTGGGTAGCTCGTTCTTCCCTCTACCTCCGCCCTCTCTGTGCCCGGCAACATTGCTAGGTGTGCTTCTTGTTGGCAGAGCCATCGATGTCATGGTGATGGGCGCTGATGGAAGATCGAGGTGGTGTTATCCTGTCTTCAACGGTCCTGACGAGCAAAGGGTCCCTTGCCTGCTATTCCAGACCTTATGCTCTCTGAAAGGATGCGGCCCCTGCAATCCCTGTAAAAGTTTAATCACTTGCATGAACATGAGGATATAGAGCACGTTGGGGGTCTTGAAAGCCGGAATTTGCCTACACCCGCGGTACGAGTGATGACGAGGAGGGCCCCAACCCGCCCTAGGACACGAGGAAAAACCATTTCGAATTGAATCGTCTACCTCGACCTATGCTTGGCCTTCTTCACACGCGACGCAAAGTGTACGAGGTCAGGTGCTTGAGTGGTCGCGGCAACGGGGGAGACCTTAATGTTCACATCACTTGCATGAACGAGTCGTTCCTACCATTTGTAGTATGCATCGCCGAGAAGCTCAGCGAGGCTGGGGTTATGACGATGGTTAGGTTTATTGGCGAAAAAGTGATCGAGTGGAAATACTGTGTCTTGCTCACAACGGGGAGAAGATCTGGGCACACACAGTAGGATAAAGAGCAAATATGAAGGGAAAGCCAAGCTGCAAGGAAGTTTTTTTCCTCAAATAACGAAGAAAAAAGGCGCTTAGACGCTCAGATCAAGCCTTGAAGCGACGGTTACAATCTTCAGTACTACTATACCAACGTCTTTCGCTCCATGGGCCCCGGCCATGCCTCTCAGTCCCTGTTCATTGAGTGTTTAAAAATACTCAAGCGTCATTCATGAATGGAATTTCACCAATGACTGGTGTCCCTCATTATTTATCCCTAGATGAGATGACTCCCCCGGCTCGAGGATGGCATGCGTAGTTGAGACGATTTTTGCGCAATCTCCATCTTGTCGATCCACTACCAACATGGTGAAATATGTCATGCTGCATCTTATAATCCCCTCCGTATTAAAGCTTGTGCATCATGTTATTATATTTCATATGTGTAGGGTCTTGGGCGGTGTCAAACCTCGGGAGTTACACCCTGGTCAACACGAAGATGGTAAAGCCGCCTCAGTCGCAGCTTTGCTTCATCACAATACTCATTGCCGTACTTTCTTTGGTAGTCTGGCAAGCTGCTCCCCGCGATGCCGTCTCTCTATTAGGCGGACAAGCATTGGCTAGCGATCAGTGTCATCTTTTCCACAATCGCGGCATTTGGATTGGAAACTACACCTCTTGGCAGCTGCAGGACGGAGAGCGCCGCGATGCGCTGTCTAAGCTGCACGACTTTATTGGCATCTCGAGCCGGCACCATCCACGGCCACGTCATATCCTGTTGGCAGGGGACTCCACCATGAAACGTCTCTCACAAAATTTGCCAATCAAGGAGATGCATGGTCAGCAGCCTACGACTGTGAAGACTGGGAAAAGATGTGGACTCCTCGAGTACTACAGCCTACCGCGGGCGACCGTGTGGACTGCGCCGAACAAAACTTTGGAGGGCCCTGTTGTGTTTGGCCTCAGAGGCTTCTGCACAGACTGCGCGGGATGCGACGCTGCATTATTATCCGTGGTCGACGTTGCTACTAACGGCACGTGGACATACGAGTACGTACCCGTTGAGTTCGCGCGCGATCGGGAGTTCCCCACGGCAACAGGCGCAACAACATCCCAGGAGGCCCTCGGGCAGTACCTAGAGGGAACTTATCAAAGGGACTTGTGCATCCTGAGCGCTGTCCTCCACGATGCGATGTTGAACATTACAGCGGAGCAATTTGCTGATAATGTAGTAAATTACGTGAATACTGTTAGGCCGTTCTGTAGTAAGATCATCTGGCTGCTTCCCTCAGCCAGCCTGAATCTGAATAATCAGCCTCAGACCTACAACAGACTCTTGGAGTTTGGCCGAGCGCTTGAGACAAGATGCAGCCAGCTGGGCAGCAATTTGCTTTTACTTCACGTCTGGAATATGTCTCTGCCTAAGGAACTGCATGCAGACAATCTCCATCACAAGCCCTCATACTACTCTTGGTTGGGTAGGCTACTGCTGCAGCCGCTTTCATTTTCGAAATAGTACGGGTCTAGAGACTGATGAACGCACCACTGTACTGCGGACTTGGATTGTTACCGCTCTGTCCCAACGAAAATGAAGAAATGTTAAATGAACTCCAAGACGAATATGTTTAAGAAAAATGGCCATTTTTCTTCGGTCTCCCAAGAAAAGCCTCACAAATGAGATCTTGTGTTGGTCTATCTCGTGTTGTCCGGCCCTATCCCGGTGTTCTGGGGCCCTACCACACAGTTCCTAATCTATCTCTTATCCCTGACAATCCGTTTTTAACAGCCGTCACCCAATTTAGGGGTCACCAATGAGAATCACTAATCATTGATAAATGAGTGAAAAAGAGGGACAAAAATCCTTCCAAGAGACTCGCTTTTCATGATCTTGTGTGCCATCACGTGTGTAGCATTTCCCTTTATAGCAAAAAGGATGGACAGGCGCTAAGTTTCATTTTTCTTGCTCTGAACATAAACAGAGGTATTCAGCCACTTGCGTCAAGTCCTCCATAGTTTTTCCCTGTTCGATAATTGTCAGTGTGTTGGGATTGTTAAGTGCCAGCTGAAATGCACTTTAAACACATGCTATCTACTAGTAGTTGGAAAAGCGCATGCACAGTAGTACTTAGTAAGTACTGCGTGGGAGCTGGAGGGAACAGTACCCACACTAAAATTGGCAAGGCATACAAGAAACTACAACTTAGTAGGTGCTGAGTGGTTGCTACAGGGACGAGGAAGTGGGAAGGAGGTTCGGGGAGGAGGTTCGGGAAACCGTTACTCCGAAACGGAAGGTAACGGCCCAATGAGTCACGATCGCTCGAAAGGTATCTTTTGCATTTCTACGTTTCCCTGTAGGCACCGTCGATGAGAATGGCTCATTACCATAACAATGGTACGGGTGGTATAAAAGGATGGGACCACAAAAGAGGCACTTCACACGCTTCTTGTGCTGGTGTACCTGAACCCTTGGACATATACACCAGTGAACACAAATCCGTCGTGCACTTCCACTCGCACGAATAACTCCGCCCAGTTACCAAAGCCGAATATGTGTGGCTGAAAGGACGACTTCGGTCAGCCATGGCGCTTTGAGGCATCGTATATTGGCAATCAATACGCAAACTTGAGTAGGCGCACCAAGGCTATGCACCCTGGTAAAGAAACGAAAAGGAGGTTGGGAAGTGAAGGTGACGATAGTCACACAGAAGAAGAAAATCAGGGAAGCATGGACTCAGAAGTAGGATCGGCTCCAGACGACATTCTTTCTGGGAACTATGGAGCTGGCGAGGTGGAGGGGGAAGAATGAGAGAGTGAGGATGAAGAAGAAGAAGAAGAAGAAGAAAAGAGGAAGAAAAGAGAGGAAGAAGAAGAAGAAGAAGAAGAAGAAGAAGAAGAAGAAAAGGAAGAGGAAGGGAATGAGGAGTAGGAGGGGGGGGAAGAAGAGGACAAGATGGAGGAGGAGGAGGAAGAGATGGAGGTAACAGCTGAAGGCCATTACCGAAAAGCTAATCGAAGGACAAGCGTCAGACGGCCCTCGCATCAGTAACGACCTCGGTACATTTCACTTATACCAGTTCCTCAATCTGGTGCTGGACAAGAGAATCAAGCCGGGTGTGGCGGATGACATCCTCTCGTTCATCCACGATTTGACGGCATGTCTATTTCCAACCATTTTCCCCGCACTTTTAAGGGAATTCTAAGTAAACTCAGTGTAGAAAAAGAGGCTAGGATGGCAACCGTGCACGCACACAAGCTTAAAATGCAGTAACACGTCCGTGACATAGTTTGTGATGCACCTGACAGTTTGCAGTTTGCATACCGCGACCCTTTGGAGATGGGTGCCGGGGCATTAATGCACAGTCCTTTCGCCGCCAAATTGGCCAAGATGCACTACCATCCGCGTCAAGGGACGACACGGGACGAGATTTGATCGGGCGAGTGGTGGTTGGAGACGCAGGAGGACGTGGAGGACCACGTCAGGGGAGATCTAGGCATTGAGGACGACGAGGGAGTGGACCTGTACGTCTGGCCCTTTATTCCCTTCACGGATGGCACCCAACTGGATGCCATGGGGCGGAGCAAAGCCAAGGTTGGCTTGACGGGCTTTGCGAATTTCGAGAGCGACATCCTTCGCCGTCCTTGCACACGTGAGCTCTTCGCGGTTTTCCCTGACCTTCAGACCTCCACCGCCCAGAGCGAGGCAAAGGCCGTCATCACCTTCCGCACAAAAATCTACCACGACTGCATGAAGATGGCATTGGCGTCCATCAAAAGCTGCTACGCGGAGGGTGGACGTCTCGTACATTGCAAAGATGGATAGACTCGGCGGATGGTCCCTGTCATCCCCTTCATCTCATGTGATGGACTGGAGGCGCGCCTCATAATTACGCGCCAGAGACCGCCATCCGCTTTCGGATCCGCAAACCTTATCGTCGGACAAACAACCAGAAGACGAGCATGGAGTTGCAGCTGATGAAGCAATGTCTCCTCGCTGTCGATGTCGAGCTAGCCTTGAGCGTCTACTCCGATCCAGACTTGGCCAAAGGCCTCATGTTCGACAAGGAGCGCGTGCAAGGTCGCCCTGCCTGGTCTTCAATCAAGTTAGTGAGTGAAACTTGGGTACAGAAAACATTTTGCGTTGTGCCCCCACTCACGGGGGAAAAAGAGCAGCCGTGGTGGGACTTAATCGTCTACACCATGCGGCCACCAGGTCGGGCCGCGGAGGAACCTTGGCCACTTCATTTCGGGGAGATTTCGGCGTTTTTCCAGGTTTGAGAAGATTCCAACGGC